TAGTTTGCAAACCGAAGAAGGATGGAGGTTTGGGTCTTGGACACTTGTTAGAAAGAAATGTTGCTCTTCTCTGGAAATGGCTAAGGCATTTTTCCTTGGAGCAAGACAGCTTCTGGGCCTCCGTAATACAAAGCAAATATGGAAGGAACAGTTATGGGTGGGACAGCAACACTGTGACAACAGATTCTCTTTCGCCAACCCTTGGAAAGGTATTATGCAACCTCTTCCTCTCTTCTCCCCTCTAGTAAGACTCAGGATTAGCAATGATAATCAGATCAGGTTCTGGACAGATACTTGGTGGGGTCCTCAACCTTTGTCTGTTACATATCCTAACCTTTTCAGCCTAACCTTGGATGAGGACATCTTGGCTTCTGGTGTTTTGGTCAGAGACAACCAAGGCCAGTCCTTTAATTTCAATTTTTGTAGTGCACTATCAGATTTTGAAACCCAAGAAGTCTCCTCCCTTCTCCTTTCCTTCAATTATGTATTTCTCTCTTCACACCTCCCTGATAAACGTGTCTGGTCCTTATCCCCTATTGGCATCTTCACCAAGTCCTTCATCCACCTTATTACAAGATCCCTTCCTGGCTTCTTGGTCAACAGAATGTGGCATCAGGTGGTACCTCTGAAAGTTCATTTTTTTATTTGGGAGGCAGTTTGGGAGTGCATTAATACCTGTTACATGATTCAAAGAAAGATAAAGGGTTCTCTGTGTCTTTCTTCCCATATCTGTGTCATGTGTATGAAGGATGGTAAATCGATTAGTCACTTGTTAATTAATTGTGAGGTGGCTCGTTCTCTTTGGCAATTCTTCTTTGACCTGGTGTTTGGTTCTAGTTTCTATTGGGCCCCTCCCAGAAGTGTTACTAGCTTCTTAATCAGTGGCCTTCTTGCAAATTGGGTTCTAGAGGCAAAACCTTTTGAAAAGCTTTATCTCATGCTGTTATGTGGTATATCTGGGAGGAACGAAACAGGAGAATTTTTTACAACAAGGATGGAAGCCCTTAGAGAGAGATTTTTTTCTTGTATTTTTTCCTGGTTTCTCCCCTCTGATCAGTTCAAAGGTTTCAGGTATGCTCGTCTTGAAAGAAATTTATTAGAGATTCTACATTCTTCCCACACTGAAAATCGGCATAGTCACCTCCTCACTCCTAGGCCACAGCTAGATTTCTTCCTGATGTTTGATCGCAGCTGCAGATCATTATCTGGCCAGTCTCCTGTGGCTGGCATTTGAGGAGTTACTCTAAACAGAGAGAAGCCTATGACCTAGTGGATTGGCCTTTTCTTGAGATTTTAGAGAGAGTTGGTTTTGGAGAGAGATGGAGAATGTGAATTGATGGTTGTATTAGCTCCATGCATTACTAGATCCTAATTAATGGAGTTGCAAGAGACTTCTTCCCCGCCAAGAGAGGGACAAGACAAGATGACCCTCTTTCCCCCCTTCTTGTTTACTTTGGTTGCGGAGGTCCTCAGTAGAATGATAATTAAGGCTGATTTGCAAGGCATTATTAGAGGTTGGAGAGTTGGTAGGAATGAGATTGTAATCTCCCATCTCCAATTTGCTGACGATACAATTTTGTTTTGTGAAGGAGACAATCCAGACTTTGCTAGTATTTTTTATTTTTATCAGCAAGAAAAATCTTATTGATTATATTAATTGGTGAAAAGTGATAATACATCTACTTAGCTGGTAATTTAAAGGGTTTGATTGAAACTTTTAAGAGTGTCTCTAGTGTCAAGGGTAAATTGGGGAAAAAGTGGAATAGTAGGAATCAATATGAAAGAAGGGGAGATTATAAGGATTGTTGAAAGTTTTGAGTGTGAAGTTAGGGACTGGCCCCTGGACCATCTAGGACTACCACTAGGAGGGAATCCAAGGACTGATGGATTTTGGAAACCGGTGGTGGAGAGGTTTGTTAAAAACTTGGCCTTGTGGAAAAGAAATTATATCTCTTTGGAGGCAGAATAACTCTAATAAGAACAACTTTGACAAATCTTCCTATTTACTTCTTGTCTACCTTTATATATCCCAAATAGCATAGCAAGACATCTAGATAAATATATGAGGGACTTCTTGTGGGAATATAGAGAGGAGAAAAAGGATCACCTAGTCAAATGAGAAGAAGTCTAACCTAAGGAAAACAGTGGTCTAGGGATTGGGAACAATCTTGTCAAAATCTTACAATTTACAATATGATTCACGATTCAAATCATGAATCCCAAGGGTTTTGATTCAAATCTTGTGTCTAAATCCTTTTCTGCAAAAATCTTACAATTTTTGTTTGAGTCCTATGACTTGATTCATAAAGAGCCATTGTATGTAGATTTGTTTGATTTTCAAGTCCAACTTGATTATATCATCTTAGGCTAGTATTCTATTGTATAAGTGCTGAATTGTATTGTTTTAAGTACATATATGGTAGATATAGATTAAAAATAGAGTAGAGTCACACTTTTCCTATATATATTTAGCCTTTCCACATATCTATATTTAATTTTTTGACAAGTTTAAAAAATAGAAATAATCTTATGATTTACAATACGATTATGATTTTCAAAACATTGATTGGGAACATAATTCTTAGGAATATAGTCTTGTTAGGGAAGTGATTGTGGAGCACTTTAAACTTGACAAGTTGTGGCACAAGGTAATTGACAGCATTCATGGGTTGGGAGATAATGGCTGGAATGCAAAATTATCCCCAAATGACTTCTTCCTCTACTAGGAAATTAATTTTTAAGGTTTACCCAATCTTCCTCAATTCCATCTACTATGATGTGGGAAATGGTAACAAAATCTGATTTTGGGAAGATCATTGGTTGGGGGAAACCCCTCTCAATTTGCAGTTTCCTTTTTATACTCTCTCAAACTTTAAAGGTGAAATTGTTTCTAAATTGGGAATACCTTTTCCCCAAGGGATTAATTGGGACCTTGGCTTCAGGAGGCGTCTAAGGGAGAATTAATGTGACTCTCTTATTCAATTACTTGGTAATTGGTATGTTGGAGTCAGTTTTCTTGGATCAAGATGCCGAGGATTCTAGTCTCTAGGATTTGGTTAGTCTCTCCTAATGGCTTATTCACCTGTGCTTCTTTTTTTAGTAGCCTCACTCTGCCTAACTCCCTAGGGGTCAAATTCCCAGTGAAAGAAATTTGGAGTAAGCCTATTCCACCTAAGATTCAAACTTTTTGCTAGGAAGTTTTCCTTGGTTAAAATAAATACTTATTCTAAAATAGCCTTCATTTGTTTGTTGGTTGTCACTCCATGAAATTTATATGGGGCTTGTTTTGTGGCAATATTTAGAGCTAATTGGGTGGAACCCAGGACTCCATGAGACATTTTTGCCCAATGGCCAACTATGAGAGGAAACACCAAGGAAAAAATAGTTTGGAAGGAAAGAAACAAAAGAGTTTTTGAGAACAAGGTCCATAGAAGAGAACACATCACTCTCATATGTGGAAAGAGGATAATGGATTGGGTTCTCATACTTCCAAAGTTTGAAGATGTTTCAAGAGAAGATCTTGGCACCAAATTTTGGGCTCTTCTTGAATTGGAATCAAACTTATAATACCTTTTTTTCTCTTGTGTACAAACTTTTACTTTGTAGACTTCACTCGTGGTGATTTCTCATCACCCTAGTTGCTACACTCCTTTTCTTTATTAATAATATTTTCTTTTTAATTCACTACCAAAAAAGACTATTTTTTATCAAATTAAAAATGTTTCATTTGTTTTGAAAAAAAAACACATGTCAAATATTTTTTTGGGGGGAGGGGGGAATTTCAGGTAGTCACCCTACAATTATGGGGTGGTGGCACTTAGCCACTCAAACTTTGTTTTGCAACAAAGACCCCCCGAACTTTTTAGATCCCAGCACTTTGCACCTATTGCTAGCATCTCCTCAGTTAATTTCATGCAATATTCCATTAAATATTTCTAAAACTCCAGGCCACCCTTATGTTATTTTACGAGATCATTTTGCTCTTTTGACTTAGCTTTTCTAAAATCCTAGGTCTCACATGTTTTTCTCAACTTTCATTGAAAAAAAGGTCACCTTGAGAATTCCTTGATAATGATCAGTTTATCAAAACCTTGAGAATGATTTATGCCTTAGAATGGTTATTTCATTATTTTAATATTTGTTGTTATTGGCCAATAGAATCTTGAATGGATAATTTGGTAATTTTATTTTTATTGTTAGCCCGTGTTCTTTGAAAGGAGAGACGGTTGGCATCTCCCCTGGCCCTGACAGGGACGGGAACAGCCTTCCGGCTTACCTGTTAGCACACATTGTCAACCCATTAACATGTCAAGAGACAAAGTGCTGGAATTAAAAGTTCAGGGGCCTTTGTCGTAAAACAAGTTTGGGGCTAAGGTCTGTTCATTACTATTTCACAGGACTTAGAGCGTTCGGTTCCAATTATTTCTTCAGCCTTAATCTCTTAATTCACATTTTGTTTTCCAAAAATTACCCCCAAAAGATTCCTCCTCTTACATATATATAATATTTTGATTAATTAATTATTAAATACATATTTATTAATAATTAATTATTTTTATTACTTAAAAATAACTAATAATAATTGTCATTAATTATATAATTAATTATTCATTTTTAATTAACCACTGAATTAATAATTATGTAGTTTAATTGATTATAAAAATAATTGATAATAATTAATAAACTATTATTTTAATAATTATTTATTAGTTAATTATTTAATTAATAATTATAAACTTATTTATTTCAAATATTTATTAATTAATTATTAAATGTCAGTTTTAAAAATATTTAATTTTTTATAATTTTTTATCAATTCCCCATCGGCGTTCAGATGTCAGGCTTCAGTGCAGGAAACAAAAAAAACAAAAGAACATTCTCAAAGTGCTCGAAAAAAGTATGGTTTTATGTAGGGTTTGCTTTTGACGGAAACAACTCCATTACTCCAAACTCATAAAGCTATTAATAATTAACAAATAAATAAGAACACGAATAGTTACCGATGTGATTGGCAAGACGAGCCCTGCAACTGCAAGGTCTTGGGTTATCGTGGGTCATGTTTTTAGCGGCATCAAGCAACCAAAACCCTAAAACAAAATAAACGACGGCGCACGCCCTCGACTCCCCTCCGCCCCCGTGTATCCGACCGATGTCCGCGAAGTGTCCAATAATCAGAACGGCAACAGTCATAGACACCTCTCCGGCAGCGATGAAAGGCCTGCGACGGCCGAACCGACTCTTGCACCGGTCGCTCATGTGCCCTACCAGGGCCTGGACCAGTAGACCGGAGAAGAGGTCACAAAGGCACAGGACGCTGATTCATGAGTGCGGAATTCCGAGATTCGTAGGGCGTCCATCCGAACCCATCGATGCTACGTGAAACAACCGCTTTAACGGCACCCTTTTTGCGCTGGCCTTCGGGCTTCTCCATCGCTGACTCGCCGAGTTGCCGGCACCGGTCTTCAGTCGGGGCTCTGTTTGAAAGGAGTACAAGTAGGGTTCAAATAATACAAAATATAAGGTTTTGCACTATAAATAATATCTATATTTTTATTTCTTCTAAACTGAGCTTTAGGCTGTGTTTGGTCGCAATGCAAATTTATTTGCATTACTATAAATGTACGAGAGTAAAAGCGTAAAAAAATGCAAATTGTTGTTTAATTTTGTTTTGGATTTTACTTTATTCTTTATTCTTTTGTACCGTAATCAAACAAAATAGGGAAAATTCCCCACAAGTATTCTACACTTTGGGCCTAGTGTCATTTTAGTCTTCGAACTTTAAAATGTGACAATTTAGTATCCAAACTTTCAAAATATGTCAATCCTACCTATCATTAACCAATTCATTAATCAATGGTTAAGTGACATTTGAAAAGACACAAATGCCCTTTTAGTATCATCTAATTTTCTTTATCAACCATCTGCATGTTGATAAAAATGAATAGTCTTAAATCCTTGCCTCTTCTATTCAAGAATGTTGGGGTTGTGTCTCAGTGGACATTTTGGTGACCCCAACATTCTTGAACAAAGGAGGCAAGGGTTTGGGACTATTTATTTTTTGTCAATGTTTGGATGGTTGATAAATAGAATTAGATGACACTCAAAGGGTATTTGTGTCTTTTCAAATGGCACTTAACGGTTGGTTAACGAGCTGGTTAATGGCAAGTACTAGATTGGCACATTTTGAAAGTTCGGGTACTAAATTGTCGCGTTTTAAAATTTAGAGACCACAATGGCACTAGACCCAAAGAATAGGGTACTAATCTGGAATTTTCCCAACAAAATAAGCTAAACATTGAAACAAAAATAGGTCAGAATTTACACTCAAATCATTTGCACTACTATGGTTTTGCATCAGTGCAAATTTATTTGCATTGCAACCAAACACAGCCTTAAGTACGTATAGCGTCGATGTGTATTGTAAATCAGTAAAATGTGAGTGAGGCCTAGTTAACTAAGTGCCATGTATACATTTTGAGTGATTCGAATATGCTCAATATCCAGCTGCAATGTATTGTAACGCTACAATGGATTCGAGTTTTAATCCAATTGTTTGGGCTCGAGTTTGATTAAGGTTGCTTTGAGTTTGATTTTAATTGAGCTCAAATCAAGTTCATATTTTAGAGCAAGTTCAATTAGTTATTTGAATTCAAGCTCGACCAATAAAAATTTTGGCTTAAAAAGTCATGAGTTTGGCTCGACTAATACACACATGCATAAGCATATACATATCTATATATTATAAAATATATAGATATAAATATATATATATATATATATATATTATAATATATATTATAAAATATAACTTTATATTCTATATAATATAAGAATAAACTATACATTATAAAAATATATTATATAAACATATAAATATATTTAATTTCGAACTTTAGAGCCAAACTCAAGCTCATTGAATATTTAGTTGAACCAAGCTCGAGCCAAAAAATATAGTCCAAGTTGTTAGACAGTTTTGTATGCCCTTAACTTCAATCAGAATGATGTACTTTATGAGTTTATTGTAAATGAATAAAGATACATATTTGATTCATGTTCCCTTGGTATGTT